CACCAGATCATAATGCAAATCCTCATGGTTCAATGATTTTGCTCAACGCAGTCAACTTGCAAAATTCGAACTCTAATCAACCCTGGAACTTGCCATGATTTACATTCAGAGGAAAATAAATGAAAAATAAGCAACAAAAATGAAGTATAGTGAACAGAACCCGATGAATGTGAAGGCAAGTTTTCTGTCCGGCTGGCGTAGACCCGTAAATCCTTATGACAGGGACCTCCTTCACTGTCCGCCCTAAGAAAGAATTCGCCCCAAGGAAAAATGAAACCATCAGCCAAAAACAGTAACGATCACCTGGAAACTTGATAAAGGAAATAAGAAGCAGGGTTCGGATAGGGCGGCCACCAACCGTGGAATGAACTATAGCAGATGTCGAGATCGGGGATCGGCGGCGCCATGTAGTAGTCGAGGGAGACGATGCGAACGCTGAAGAGAGTAATATCCGGCGGAGAGGCCATCTCCGGCGGCGGGGCTGTGGCGAGGGAGAAGAAAGGAAGAGGAAGAAGGCATAAAGACAGGAAGCGAGAGGGGAGCGGTCCAAGAGCGGTTGGACATTTTAACGAGCGTTTATATCGGCACGAAAAGATCGGTTTCGGGAGTACGCACCTGCCATTCACGTGATATCGTGCAGCTTCCGCAGCACGCTGGCGAGGGCATCAGTCGCGAATCAGCCTACACTTTCTTTTTTTAAATAAAATGATTGTTGGGCGAATTTTCGAAAAGTCTTTATTTGTTAAATTTTCAAAACATTTTCAAAACAACGCCCCCTAATCCTATAAAAAAAGTTTATTTTATCTCTTTTTATAAAAAAAATTATTTTACACCTTCTTTTATTGGACTTATCATCGCTCATAATCCTCGCGTCACAGTCATCCTTTGCTTGTAACCCTCATACAAGAGCTATAACTACGGGTCTCTAAGACTATCTCCTCTACCGCATGTTTAATTATTTTTTATTGACTTCAAACAAATATCATAGATTACTAGATTTTGATGGAAAATATTTTTAAAAAAATTTAAAAAAATTCTACAATTTCATTCTAAGAATTTTTAGTATTTTAAAGATATTTATTTAAAAATGAGTATAAATATTTTACTCTTAAAATATGAGCAACAAGAGATAGAATAACAACAAAGATGATTGTCTGATAGATAAAATAAAATAATATAAAAATGAGGATATAATTAATAATTAAAATGTTTATTTCGTAAAATTATAATTTATTATTTTTTGAGGTGATCGATGATAATAAAAAAATTATCAATAGCAAAAAGGATCGTGTAAATTCTAATTAAAGTGTCATGGCCATGACATCAAGATGATGTTCAACTACATCCACATGTGTACGAGATGAGACAACAATTAATTCTTAAAAATACTTATTTCACATCTTATATCATGTTCAATCATCTTTCTGAAAGCTCCATCGGATGATAATTTTCCCATAACTATAATAAACTCTAGATTTTTCCTGTTCTTATAGAAATGATACTAAAAGTATTTTTTTCCTTCCATCGTCATAAAAAATTGTTCCTAAAATTTAAAATTTCATTAAATAAATTTATTAATTTATGAGGGTGAAATACTCGACATTGTATACTATTATTCTCCCAATGTATCCCTCGCACTTGTCACCTTATCATCACTATAATTAGAGTGCTAATTTGACTCCAAATCAAATGTTAGGTCAACCATATGTTCTAACTTGCATAATGTCAAACGTAACACTCGACGGGTTAGAAAACATCATCTATCTTCGTAAATATAAAAAAAGAAAGATATGAAGATAATAGAAGATAAGAATAATTACTGAAGAATCTTTATTGAAGAAGTGAAAAAATTTTATTGAAGAAATAAAAAATGCTTCAATGTTCCCTCTCCTATTTATATAGATTAGGAGAAAAGATTTTCCTCAACAGAATAGAGAGATTTCCTCGTATAATTGAAAAAATCTTACCTTATATCACTGTTTTAGTTGTCGATGCTGTCTTAAGAGCCCGAAGCAGAGATAAAAGAAGCAGCAGTGATATCTAAAAGAAGCAGAGCTCAGTTTTTTTATCATCTTAGAAGCACAACCTGTGAGCAGAGTTGAGATTCCTTTCTTGTAGAGGTTCTTCGAAGTTTTGAGAAATTGGTGATGTAAATTTCTGTTTCCTTTTCTTGTCCTCTGTCGACATATGATCCTTCAGCTGACTTTGTCCAAGCGAGATAGCTGCTGAACAGGAATCAGCACTGCCAAAGAGGACAGTGATGAGGGAGAGAAAAGGCTGAGTTAAAGAATGCAGATCAATTTTCCTGAGACAAAAGCGAAGAAGAAAAATATGGATGTAGCTCAGTTGGCAGAGTTGTGGAGAGAGTTAGCAGCTTCGGAGTCTGAAGAGGAGCCTAGCAGGAGAAAAAGAGAAAGCAGAGCAAGCAGCAGCTGTAACAGCAACCAAGAAAAAAAGACAAGAAGGGCAATTGATACTCTATGATCTGCTGTATGGTGCTCAGGAAAGGCTTTGCCATAGTTTCTGTAAGCTTAGAGAAACTACTCCATGATCTTTATCTAGGCATATTATGATCTCCAGAAAGGACAATAGCAAAACTTACTGTCCATGATTATTAAGTGACGATTAATGATCCAAGCCAATTAAACTAACCTTCTTTATCAGATGATACATGGTGACAGAAAGGAAGGTCAGGAGATTACCTTCTTCCTGGATCACAGAGCCCTGACAGGAGATTTGCCAGAGGAACAGATGCACAGATGATAAATTCCCCAAGTTTGCTCGCGGATCATCCCATATTATTTACTATGCGAAAACATGACAGGTCTCTGAGAGAGAATACAAAGTCGACACCAAAAGAAGAGACTCAAAAGACAAAGACAATCCCAATTTCTTGAACTCGGCTGTCACGCCTCTCTTGATCATTGTTGTTTCAGCACCAGCAGGGATACACGAGCATCACACGTCGACGGGGTCGCGAGCAGCAGACGTGCACCAGCGCCAAGGCAATGACAAGCACCATGATCAGGCCCAGGGCGTTGATGGCATCGTTATCTGGCTCAATGAAGCAGACCTTCCCCATCTGTGCTCGAGATAAACGCAAGAAGCTACCACGCAGCTCTTTAATTATGAAAGCGAAGAAGAGCTTTCAGCAATCTTTGCCGCGAATCTTCTCTTCGACCAGTAACACCGCTAGTTGGAACATCACTGTCGTTCTTCCCTGTCCAATGTTCCAACGTTGTTCCGACTTTTGGCTTGTTTACTTCGAGAAGACCTCGGCAGCACCCACAAAGACTTGAGCATGTGGTCATTGTCTTATAGCAAGAGTGGTTGTGCGCCATTGAGATAAATGCTTGATCCATGAACGGGAATCTGACTCGGTGCACATCGCACTGTTTCTTCTGTGTGAGAAGTCTTAATTTATAGGGCTCTGAAAAGTCAGAAGTCCAAATCCATTCAAAGGCATGCGTCCATATGATCTTTCAAAAGATCGAGACTATTGGATTTCCATCCACTCCTTTACCTTCACCTCAACTCCTCAAATCATTGTATTAAAGTTTAGAGGGACACAAATGTTATTTCCAAACCTTAAAATGCATTTTTTTTCTTATTTAATTATAGTTTAAATTGACTTTACAAAACCTTGTGGTCTTTGTGGAGACTTGAGTGCTGCTTTTAGGCGGAGAAGATATATCATGCGAAACATCCGCTGTGTATGACTCTACCAAATGCTGTGTGCAAGTGTACGTAACATAAGATGATCATTCTCGTGACCTTCATCTATTATCTTGGGAGGTTGTTTCTGCGCTGTTACTAAATTTGCTTTTCACGTTATGTAACCGTTATTATTAAATATCTAATTTAATAATAATATAACTGTTTTCATTAAGATTCATAATTTATTTTTATGATTTTTTTTTATTTATTATGATTTAAATGATTTTAAATTTTTTTTATACATGAAATCGTTATTATTAAATTAAATATTTAATATCATTAAAGTTCCTACACGTTACAAATTTGAATTAATTCTTGAACGTTATGAATTGGTGATGATAAATGTTCTTGACGGGAGAACATATATATATATATATATATGAGGATTTTGGTTCTTGGCTCAATCATCTCTTTGAAGCGAAAGAGTTTCCTATATCATATAAAGCGAGAGTTCTGAGCCGAAAAGTGTCAAAGTTCAAGAAGAAACATCATTTTTGATAATAATGGCTGGAGGTACGCTATTTTGTTTCCGCATCAGTTTTTATTATGTTTCTATTATAATGATTTAGAAATACAAGTTGGTTTCAATAATTTCTTACATGTTAAACATATTTCATAGTATTTTAATCGTATTGATTCTATCTTGGTTCAAATCATAATCCTTGGAATTATCCATGCATGGTAAATATAGTTAGGCTTGATCGCTTCTCCTTCCACTACTATTTTCTCTCTGCTATTAATCTAAAGCCTATCTTTTTTAATATTGATATATGATTTCTGATTTGATATCTAATAAAAGATAAAAACTCTCTTCTTCAACAATCGTTTGGCTCTTCCCTTGTTGACAATTGATGTATGTGACAATTATTCCAAAGGCAAAGGTATTATGTTGAAACTTAATCTATTTTGCGATGTTGGGAATATGTGAGAAAAAGCTACCTTCCTTTTATAATACTTATTTATAATCAATTGATTATTTATTATTTTAATATTTTATTTCAAGATCAATAAAATTCTTTAGCTTTTTTTATTTGATAAAAAATTCAATGTGACAAATTTCCAATATTATTAAAGAATATATTACATTTGATGTCTTTTATGAATGATTGTATGAATAGTTAATCGATTGGCCACTCAAATTAGGATCAAAAAATTTCTTAGTCTTTGGATGAATTCATATCTGAGTTTTTTTTATTTTAATTCACACTCATTAGTAAAGCTTTTTAATTCCCCTTTTGCAATAAATAAATAAATAAAATAAAATAAAAAGTTCCTCAAGTATGTTTGATAGAGCAAATCTATTTCGAGTGATCCGTACTTTAACATTTGATCGTTTTCCTCACATTACAAGAATGTCACAGCCCCAAAAGTTGTCTGAGATTAATGGGAGATACATACCTCGTATCCCCATCGACAATATACTTAGCAAAGAAAAGATTGGCAGCCTCGCTCGGATGATACGGATCCCAAAACACATACTCCGATCGATCATCACACATGGTGGAGGTCGGCCCACAAGGAATGATCCCCTGATACTGCCCTCCGTCGCCACAACAAGCGTAGCTTGTTGTTCTGAAGCCTGCATCCATGATTTGATGCCCCCGCATGCAGTTCAGATACAGTAATTCTTGTCCTAAAGAGGATTGGCAGATCGAACTCTTACCGTGGGATCGATGGTTTGTGAGCAACTCCGTCACCAAGTCATATACATTGGCGAGGACGAACTTGGCGCCGGGGAGGTTGTCATTGAGTTCTGTAAGCATGTCCCTCAGCTGCGAATTGTACTGCACCGCAAGCTGGTTTGGTAAGCTAACGCACTCCGCCTCCTTGACTTTGTTGATCGTCTTCTGGTAAGGAATGCATCCTATAGGCCCGACGTTGGCGACCACCACCTTTCGTGCGTCGAGGGAGTAGAGTCTCTGCCATGGAGCGACGTGAGGAGGACATGAAGTGTATACATGTGAGAGGGTTGATGAGCTCACCGTGAGTTGGCTGCGGAAGCTGATGATGAGGCTGTCGATGAAAGAGTCCGGTGTCTCGGTGACTCTTTCTCCGGCGGAGACGACGGGTAGAAGGTAGTTGTTTAGGAAGTCGTTGGATCCTATGGTGATCGAGAAGATGGATTTCTTCATCAAGAACTCTTTTGCTTCAGCCTTCCCCAGTAATCCGTCCAACTGTTGCCGGGTGATGTTGAAGTAGTCGAGTTGGACGTCCATTCCAAGCCTGTTAACCTGTGCCGGTCTTAGGTTAAGGATCAAACCCTGCATATATAATGCTACGTGATTAGGAGAGAACGTACAAAGATTTTTCCTGTTCCATTCAGAATCCCTCCTCCTCCAGAAGCATAGTTCACTCCGTTCAGTATGACTCTTCCTGTTGTGTTGGGGGCCAAAAATGGCTGTGCGTAGTTTTCTTGACCAAGTAATTCTCCTGCAACAAGTTCTGTGAGCTTCGAGAAACACAAAAGAAATATGTGCTCGTGGTGTTGCTGAGATTTCATGAACAGAGTGATGTTGTGATTTCGCTACTACTACTGTTCACTTGCTAATGAAGAACAGAGTCTCATTTCAAGAAGAGAGAAGGAGCTCACCGATGATGTCTGCAATGGTCCTGCCGTTGGTGTACCTGCCGGTGGGCTGTCCGCCGGAGGCCGAGAAATCTATGCCGTTTGGTCGAATGTCGGCCTTCGACAGCGACGGCAGATAGTTGTTGTTGCCGGCATCCACAAGAGAGTCTCCGAACACAAAAGAGGCTTTCATTCCCTCATCACCTCCACAAACAGCTACAATGGTGGTGCAAAGCACCACAACCACCGAGGCCAACTTCATAGCCATTGATGCCCTAAGCTTCTCCTCCCTCCCTCCCTCTCTCTCTCTCTCTCTCTCACACACACACACACACACAGTATTTAAGGGACATTTCAAAGGGAGTGTAGCTTGGGTTTTAAGAAGCATGAATTGGTTTGACACAATGGATCTTGCTTGGAAGGGGGGAGTAGCTGTTGTTGGTGTTGAGAGATGGTGGTTCATCCACACTTAACGCTTGAAGTACTTGTCGCATGGCTTGTGCCTGACACTTTGGGAAAGCAGCAAAGGGATCAAAGAGTTTGAATGAGTTGACATCAGAAGTTACATCAAAGCTTTGGACTACTGGAGATTTAGGTATGAGTTAGGTGAAGGTACAAGTAATTATGTTGAAGAAGATAAGACAGTCCTCCAAATCATGTGAATGAGAGAGATGGAGGATTGATTTGCTGCTGCAGCAATCTTTTCTTACCTTACACCACCAACTAAACGATGTTGGGATTCAAGTGTGCAGGTACAGCAGATGAGCCTCTCCAGCCATCGTGGGGGAAGAGTCAATTGGATGATGCCTTGCAAACCATGAAATCTAACAAGGCAAGTATGGGAGGTTTTCACAAAGTGATGGAGAAGCAATGAGAGACAATAGCTTATACTTATTTGCTGATGAATATTCTTTTTAATTAACTATAAGTTTTTTTTTTGGTATTTTTGGTTGACATTGGAATGACCTGATCAAGTGATAGATTGCTGATTAAAAGTGTAATTATGTGCAATGTTTATATTTTGGTATAAGATATCCTACTGATTACATCTCTCCAAATACATGCACCAGCACAAGAGATGGAAGTAAAGACATTAAAGAGGTTCAAGTGAGATCCATCCCATAAGGAAGGTCAATTAGGGCTTGTTAGGCTAAGATAACTCTTCTTTTGTTCTTTAGGGAAAGAAGATTGAAGTGAGATCTTTGAAATGAAACAATTGTTTAAACATATACTTACCAACCCAAACCCAACCCAACCATATCAAGAGATAAAGAATTCCTTGTTCAAATTTGTTGGGATTAGGCTAACATATCTACGTGAAAGAGAAGGAAGGATGGAAAGCAACGTATTGTGCATATTGAATGAAGACAATACAGCTAGAATGAGAGAGAGAGAGAGAGAGAACATGCAGGTTTTAGATCGTTTTCATAGACACAGTTTTTGTAAAAATGAAATTAGATTAAAAGCAAACTTTTCAAGAAAGAAAGATTATATCATTTTTGCATAGCTAAGATGTTATATTATCATATTTTTTTTAACATCGAAATGATTTTTTTCCGCTACCATCAGAAAGCACCCAATAAAATCTAGCTTAATATAGTACAAAATAATTTAAATAAGAGAAATAAAAAATTTTGAATACGGCAAGGATTGAAAGAACGATAGATAAAGAGTTGAATATTTATGAATACACCAAATCATCTATTGAGAATCTTTTCATAATGGAGTAGATTAATCAAAATAAAGCTTTGTTTCAAAAGAAACAATCCCAAGTACAATATAAAATAGACATAATGAAGAAGTAACCATTAATGAAGTAATTTCCAACAGATTTACAATATAACAGATGACATCCAACCTCGCATCTTTAGGCAAGTAAAACACAAAGTCACTACATACCACAAAAACAAAGAAGCCCTTCGATGAACTGATAGCAATATGACTCTAAGCATACCAATCAAACGATGAGAAGAAAATATGTACACAGCAATCCAGCATTAAGATCAACAAAGTCCAAGATTTAAAGAGTATCCATACCCATATGTACAATGAAACTATTTTCGTCGCTGTTTTCTTTCCATTGTCTACTTTTTTTTTTTTTCTCCATTTCCTTTGCGGGCTATTGTCATTCATGAAGGTCTTGTTCAATTGGTGAACCAGGCACAAAAGGAACGAAACCTCGCCCACCAAACATTGGACGCATAAATGCATCGTCAAACTTGCGCCAATAGTGATGAACCGTGTGAGTTGGCTTGCTCAGGAGCATTCCCAGTCTAGTTGGTCGAGGTATGAGCTGGCCTCCCATTTCACCCTCTGATCCATGCCTGTTTTCAAGAAGTGGACATGACAGGGCTTTGGGAGTTGATGGCTCAGATAATATACTGCTAAGATGCTTTGCGCTATGAGGCAATAGAAGCCTCACGAGAGGCTTTGTCATCAATCCAAACACCTGAGGTAGCATTTGATGACAAAAATCAGGAATTTGGCAAAGAAAAAAAGAGAGAAATACAAGAATGTTGCATCTAGCTACCAGAGAGATATCAATTTAAATATGAAGAAATAATTTACTTATGATTCACAAATTGGCTAGGCCAATAATCTACAGGATCCAATACCAGTTACCATCATAGCTTAATAAAACTTTAGCAAACACAAAAAGTACTAAAATTAAAAATGGCCTTTAAAATTTCATTTTGATTTCTACTTCCAGGTTAAAAGTGGCACTGGAGTCGCATAACATGTCAAAATATAAATGCACAGGAAACTTTTGCTAGAAAATTTGTTCATTGTTTGATTTTACTGGAGTGTATCTTGCAACCCTTGGAAAATTTCTCAAGAACTGCAATATTTTGGTTTTAGGGAAGAGACAGTGTTTCTCAGACTTTCTAAGTCATTTCTATGTAAATATGCATGACAATAGATAAGTGTCTGCAATCATCGTGTCCTGTAGTTATTCCCTAGATTTCCACATTAACCATTGTGTTTATTGTTATGTTGTCTTTATTAATCTATAGTGATTGGTTTATGCATGTAGAAGACTAGATTAATAAAAGGTTTGATATTGCAATTGACACAACAAAGTACCCCAACAAAAGCAGCACTGGTATGCTTTAATTATTTCATTTTTTGGGGCAAACAGCCAAGCCATTTAATTATAGAATACTTTTTAGGTAACTACTTAACTACATTACGACCATAGAAGACATCATCAAACTAACAAGTGTTACAACAGAAATATTACCGGAAACAGAAAGCCTGGAATACTCCACATGATGATAATCATGCAATTTAATATTAAAAAAATAGATGAGAATTTGCAAAATATGTTTGAAGAGTTTTTATATGTTACATGATTTTAGCAAGATATCAACAACTCAAGTTAGGAAGTGATGAAAATGTGGTAAAAAATTAATATCATGCATTTCAGTTGGGAAGGGATGTCTTACCACAGTGCTAAAGAGAACAACTGTTATTGTGCTGGTGATCATTATCGCATTCCCTCGCAATTGTGTATGGCCAGATCTCGCAAACTGCAAATTTTAATCTTTACTACATGCTATTTTCCCATAGTAAAGATCAAAAGAAAGAATGCAAGGTAAATCTAATCTTTAAACTATTAAGATAAGTGGCTATAAGAGAAAAAAAGGTCACCCAAGACCATAACAACCAACAGAAGTTCTATAGAGAACTTCCAGTGATGAAGACTTTTAAGTTATTAGGCCATTCATCAATGAAAGAAATTCAAAAATTTCTGAGTTGGAATTTTGGCAACATACATTATTCGATCTGATTAATGTGCATATTATCTACAAAAGACTCATTTGCGAAAAGTATCTATTTCCAAGTAAATTGCATGTAACAGTGAAGACATCAAATTCATGGTTATGTAAATTTGAACTCCATGATTGAGGGTTGGCTCAGAAAGATAACATTTTATTCCCTTGCTATATTCAGACAAGCACAAGTTTCTTCTTTGCTTTGAACATTCGAACACAAAAAGGCCAATGAGAATCAAATGCACCTAGCTGAAGCATCATATGATCTCATGGAACTATATTAATGAAATGTGTAGAGACAGTGCACAGGAATAATCACCTTACGTAAACTCGAAAAGTAAAAGCAAAATTTTAAATATATGACATATATTAACCTGATTGTAAGCAAGTGCCATTGAAACAGCACCTCTCATAAGACCTGCCCACCATATTGTGATCTGTCAAACAAAATTTTATATACATATTAACAAAGTGGTGCAGGAGAAATATGATAGTCTCAAATTATGAAACTCACTTGTTGCTTAAAGATGATTTTCTCATCAGGAGACTTCTTTGTCAAGTTGGATAAGAAGGACAGTGGGAAAACAAAAGCAGCTCTTCCAATTAGAACCAAGCCAATGAGAATTGAGCTAACACCAACTGATTTTCCAGGGCTGCAAAGGTGCAATTAATAATATGAGCAGAAAAGTCAAAATACACAATTCAATATAAGGGAAAGTTTTTTACTAGGAATAATTCTATTATCAGATTTTCTGATATGATAGGTTCTCTTTATGAAAGTAAAGAACAGAGAAAAAGAATTTCACTAGTAACTATGTGCAACTCATGCCTGCCAAATAGCCCAAGGAGAACTGTATATCTAGCATGAGAATCTATGTTGTTACTCATGATAAATACATCTAAATTGGCTAATGTAAATGTGTTACAGTCTTTATATTGAAACAAGTGGCAGCACATGTAAATGTTTCTATAGTAACTACAATGATCTAAACTTCACGGTGGACAAAATTAAAACTCAGAATTTCACTGCTAATGCACAAAATTGAAATGGAAACTGATGGATACTTCCCAAAACATATATTCGATTCAACCTTACTCTTGTTATCAACGAATTACAAGTGCGATCACTCTCATTTTCAGAGTAAAACTTATAATCACATATTTGACCCTCGAAATATCATATAACTGCAAATGGAATCTGAGCTGATTGAATATATAAGTTGATTGATACTTAAACTGCTTGAAGTTTGTGTTTCTTGTGTGAAATAACAACAAATCAGCCCTTAAACTCCATGACCAAACAATTTGAGACTCGGTCAAAACAGCAGTGTGTAACAAGTGCCATATCATTAGTAAAATACCATGCAAGAATCTTCTGAAGTAGATGTCCTCATTGCTTTGAAAAATACCAACTACAGTAACACTGATGCCGTAAAAAACTAGTCCATATACAGGATAAAAAGATAAAGTTCACAGTCAACTATATGCACAACAGGAATATTTTACCTTCCACTGACAAACTTCCACTTTTCGATGTCCAATGCATCCATTCCAACATAAAGGAACAAGAAAGTCTCAGCAATAAATGACAATGTTGCGAAGGAATGCCTGTGAATTTAGGAAGTCAAGAGGAAAGAAGAATATTTTAGAAGGAAATAGATAGGAACAAGTAGGAAAAGAGAAGAAGGGAAAAAGGGACAGAACAACTCGAATACATCACAGAGGTTCACTAAAATTTAACAAGCAGCAGCAGTTCCTAGCTTGAGATTTTAGTGAAGGTAGAAACATACTTGGTAGTAACTCTTGAGCTCTCTGTCACATTATGCCAGGTGTAGTGTGACATTACTATGCCACAGAAGAATACTGTGAGAATGCCACTTAAATCTAACAACTGCAAAACAAACAAATTCTTCAGAACATTTTCAAATCATTGTGTACCTAACATACCCAGGATTCAGCGGAATAAGTTTTCAGAAGAAACTATTGATTCTGAAACTTTTTCATGCAGCTAGATTAGAATCTCACTTCAGCCAGCATATATGATAGGTACGCCATGAGAATCATTAGTGCAACTTCACGATCAGTGGAGTGCCTGAAGTTAGGAAGGATGTATCAAAAATTTGATTCATGGAAAACCAACTCAATTCTCCTTCCAAATGTAGAATAAGGAGATTTCACAGCTAAAATAAAGATAACAGAAGTTCAAAAAGGAAAGCATAATTATACAAAGAACTTTGAGGTAATAGTAAAAAAAGAGGATATATTGAAGTTGACATGTATAACAACCTCCCAAAATACAATTTCTTGATGATGTACGCACTTAGCAAGCCACTCTGCAAGTAGTAGCATAATTATCTTCAGCAATCAAGCCTAATGCATCTGCAAGTGGAGGAATGGAAACAGCATATCTTCTATAAACTAGTACCAAATAGCGTAAGTGAAAGGAACTTACAAATGCTCCAAGGAAAGTGCTGGTGATAAACAGATAACAAAAGTTTGACAAAAACTTGAACACTATAATAGCATCAATATGAACAAGATCAAAATTTTGGATTGCGTTGAAAAGGACAACTGATGTGGCATCATTCACCACACCTTCACCAAAAACCAAGCTATACAGCAAAGGTGTTTCATCCTGATTAAGAACCTGTCATGGAAGTTAAAGTGTCCTGAGTAACTACTTGAATAAATAAAAAAATTTATTTGTTACTGTCACAAACTAGAGAAGGCACGACTCCCAAGAAAAGAATTGAAACCTGCAGGGTACAGACAGAATCTGTTGCTGAGAATATTGCCCCTATTGCTGTGGGAACAGAAGGACAGACCAAACTCAAATAATGAGGAATAGTACCAAATATAAACATACAGTGTAATGTATCATAAAGATAAGAGAATAAAATAAGATAAATAAGAGATTTTACCGAGAAAATCTCCTATGTCTAGTGAACCAATATCCATTTTTCTGAACAATGCAATGGCTCCTGTATTCAGCATCAGAATTGAGAAATATTAACATATAATTCTAGAAGAAAAAGAAAAGAACTGTTTCCAAAACCACTAAAAGTTTTACATGAGCACTCAGGATTTTTGTGAACAGGAACTATTGTCTAACTGCTAAAATCTGTGCATTAAATATGACCAAATTAATCATGTCAGTAGTTGAGACCTCAGCTTTTCCGCATCTATGAGCAAGAACTAAAGCTCATCATTCACATTTACCAATGCCTTAACTATTAATGGAGAAAATATTTGTTCACCATTAATCAGTTCAGAGTTTTAAGATTTGTTAGCATAGAGGATTGGCCCCTTCTGACAAGGACTTTGCTAATTTGAGGGTCAGAAGCATCCCTGAAGCTAGCATCTACAGATTATCGAAGGACAAACCAAGACAATTAAAGTAAATACTGATGAATTAAATAAAAAAAATTGTTGACTAGGCCTCTAGACTCATACTGCTCTCATATATATAGGAGTTGTGTGAGAAAAGTTAGTTTCATCATCCCACAAAATCCCACCATAAGAGACCTCCAGGACTCTCAAAACACAGGTCCTAGTAGCAAATATTTTTTCTAACCATGGCTCTTGAACACCAATTGGGGTCAAAATAGGATTCTAGAGACTTTCCAAAATGTCGACTAAAAATAATGATGAAAATACATAGAAAATAATAGTAAGTTTCCTTCTTGGTGTTGCCCTCTTGTTGATTCTGACCTCAGTCAAGTCCTCGGACCACTAGAACTGATGTTGACCATGAATTCAAATACTGACCCGACTAAATACCAGCATCTGACCATATGTGGTAGTATGGGTCAGAATACCACATGGCATACTGGTGACATATCAGTCTGGTGGATTTATCAAAACTGGTGACTGAGATTTAAAAACCTTGATGTTGACAACTTTACCCCTACAGTCTTTAAAATAGATGAAGGATGCCTTTTTCAAATTGGAATCAAACTGCTCTAAATCAGGAATCACATTGAAATATTAATCAATTTTTTATATCAGACCTCCCTTTCAACCATGAAAGCATCACCAAGTCTGTTCGAACATGGATACAAGCTGTTATAGTCATTTCATTGATGTTCCATGCCTTATGGGGAAACGAGTGATGGTCCCAGACCCAAGTTATGTCTGGCCCAGCTCTAGGAGTTGCCAGCTAGGGTCCATAGCCCATATGTGCTGCCACGAAATCCCATAGGTTCCCCACCCTGTTATGCTTTGATCTTGGCTCACTGTAATTTGAGCCCTATAAGTGTTAGGTTCATATTTGCAAGAAGCATCATCAGAATGGTCTCAGGTAGCAGGCGGATGATGAATCCTCACTGAAAGTAGGCAGGGTGTATAACTCTAGAGGCCCTGCCCAGCCTCTAGGGGGACTTAACCAAGGGGTTTTAAAGCTTGAGTAGACCCTGAGAGACCCAGGACATAGCAACATTTTTTAATAACAAAGAATCCTACTAAACATGCCTGGTTTTCACGCTATTACTATTGTGTGATGTACTCAAGTATGCTTCATTGCATGACAAACCATTAGAAATACCAGCAGCAGTGATGTACCTAACTTATCCTATTCTGTACATCATTGTTTAACTGGTTTGAGACTCTTTTTGGAAGTAAATGGCAGGGATCCTTTTCAGTAGTAATCTAACCTTTCTTGTGCACATAAAACCTAACTTTCTGAAAAGCAATAATGATGACTTGAATATTCTACCTCAATAGTTTGTCTCCAAAATAATTTTCATGATTTTGTACTGCACTTAAATACACAATAATCATCCTGTATGTCAACCAAACTAGCACAGGACTAAGTGCCACCTTGAGTGATTTATTCATCAAGTGGCTTAAATTGTGCCCAAAGCAGGAAATTTTCAATTTATGAATCACTTAAATAGGTAACATAAATTTAAAGAATGCAAGTTGTTAAAAGAATTATCTTCCGTCGTTTGATATTTTCATAAGAGAAGAGTTCTCGGCTAAAATGTGCCTAAAATTCTTTTGGGAGTTCTATAAAAAGAATATGAAAAAGGACTTACCGAAAGAAATTATGAAAAAGGAAATCAATGTTCCAACTGCACCAAACAGCATGATTGTCATAAAGTTACGGAAAAACTGTTTCTTTTTTACCTGGAACCTGGTGAAAAAGAAAGCTGAACATCACCATAAATCAAAAGATTATCATTGTAAAAGGTAAGTTGGATGCAGGTAACCAGGTAATCAGATATGAAGGAAAAGGAAACAGTAACATGATCTGAGAATGCTCTCGTAAAAGAAGCTCTTTCCTACGAAGGAAAGAGGAAGCTTACATTTATTTATTATGTATGCAATATAGGCATTCAAATAAAGATTTCCCTAAGCCCCTAATTACCCTGGTGATTAGTGATGCTCATTTACTCAACAAGGATGCACATATAACTAAAATGGACTTCAACATAATGGTTCTGTTAGGAAATCAAATCTCAAAAAGAACTTATATGCTTCCAGGTAGAGGAGACGTGTTCCAAATTATTTTAATTCTAGTTGATAGTAATTGCAAGGCGTCTTCATTGTTTGTAGGGTAGCTTTAAGTTGAGGTGGCCTTTACTACATGGGACATTTTCGTACAGTTAACTAACTTTTACCTAAATACACAATCATTTTATAAAGTTTAACAGGTGAGGAAGCAATAGGTATGGGTGACGAAATTTCCTTTGGAAGCTACTGCTTTTATGTTAGTTTCCTTTGAGGATTTATCAACTGCTTGAAGTCTTCAGATCAATTAAATTTCTTCATATGTATGTATACATCTCTGCAAATAATCATCACACAAGAAAATATTTTCTTTAATTACCTCTTCAATTTTAAGCAACATTCGGATGACAGATATTGTAAAAAGTTGCTGGCTTTCTAGTTACACTTTACCAATCAAAAATGAACGGACAACAATTTCTGTTGGCATCTGCAACCTTGATAGGCAAAAGTATAGACATTCAGATAACAGATATTGTCAAAAATTATACTTTACCAATAAAAAATGAATTAACAACAATTTCTGTTGGCATCCAAAACCTTGATAGGCAAAAGCATCAACCAATGCTTCTGTAGCAGAAGTCTACTTTCTAAAAAGCCAACAGCTACAAGGTCAACTACTAATAAGTTTGAGCAAGGATTTCAATAGATCACTGGATCACCCAGAGCGAACAAATAATATTGCTAGAATATAATGTCAAGCTTGTGATGACGCATTAGAATTGACCATTCATCGACCACATGGTTGCTAAATTTCCATCCTACACTGTTCATGTAAATGGTAAGCATCCTTTACTCAAGCAAATATATTTATGTCTTTAAAGAATATATGCATACATACCCACTCGCAGTACAAGATGGAGTATAGACATGCATGCACCTCTGAATATAGTATATACTATAGATATTTATTTTTGACTGGCTCCTTTAGATTAAGGTACACAAGATGGCATTAGCATATATTTTACTTACCACCTCTAATATCTATCAACAAAAACATAAAATGTCCTTCCCTCTGAAGTCTACCACAGAAAATGGTAGAATCTCAATTGTTAATACTGTCTATTGTCTTGAGTTACAAGTTTGAGTGCATGACACCTAGTTTCGACACTCTATTATGCTTTTAGAAGGCATATCAACTCATAATCACAGAACCAAGGGCCATTGTCAACACAGCTGACAAGAATTCAACTTCTAGAATAAAAATTCAAGCATCAAGCTTGCATATGATACAACGTTAAATATGGCAGGGGATACCAAGCCACAATAGGCCCATTAAACAATAACGATGCACATATCCAGAGCAAAGGAACTAAAACGACTAGGCAACAGCTAACAGAGCAAGAAGATTGTCAACAAGTCTCACTGATATTGTACTACGGTATAAATTTGAAGCACTCAAGGAAAATTACCCGGCATTGAAAATTATCGGTGGGAGAAGATAAATGAAAAAGAGGTCCTCACTGAAGACTAGGACGTGAGAGCTCTTCCCCTTGGTCGTCAGCAAGATGACAATCCCCGTGCACAATCCCTGCAATAACAGAAGCACCGATTCGAACACAATTCCCTGCGAACCCGCACAAATATTACCACTAGGAAGGGGCTCGATAGACCCACGATGATGAGGGCGGTGATGGACTCGTTCATCCAACGGTTCTCCTCGAGGAGGTGGCCGATCACAATGCAGCCGCAAAGCAGCGCCACGAAGAGGTTGATCGACACTACCGAAGTGTGGTCGGACGTGGCCGCCGCCATCCCCAGTGGTGCCACCAGGTCGAACACCATGCCTGCCCTACCAGAAACCGAGCAAATCACAACAGAACGCCGCCGGACTCGAGCAAGACAGGGGCAAGCCGGGCGGTTCACGTCTCCCACGAGTCCATGGCAGGGTCTCAGCTCACAAATGTCGAAGCTAGGTGCCTGAATCGGGAAGAAACAAGCCTTCCTTCGTGAGAATCGGAGAGGCGAGAGACAAAAGAAAGCCGGCTTTCTTTGCGGAGACGTCGCGGGGAGTGCAAGCAACAACTAGGGTTCGATGAAAAGGACGAGAGCAGGGGAATTCAAGTGGATCGAGGGCGACATAGGGATCGCAGAGCGAACTCAGACGTCCATGAGGATCCCGCTTCCCTCGGTCACTCGCTAGCCTTCTCGTCTTCTCCTACCTTCTCTGGCTCGCAGTCATGGCAATATAAAGGCACGCATTGCACTGGGGCCCAAAGGGGGAACGGTGAGCCTATGCACCTGCGTGTTACGTTTTAGTGGCCGCAAGAAAAGGTGTTTGCTGTATTAGCGGTGTAGCGGAGAACTGATGTCGCATAAGCGACAACGCGTGACCGAGTGTGCTGTCGCCTGTCGGCATATATAGCTTCGAGACTTCGCGTACTGACGTCCGTATATTTGTTCCTATGCGGAAGCTTACGATAAAATTACGCCGAAAGGACATGGAATCCATGAACACTATACTGTACTGTACTACTTAAGCACTTTGATATGCAGATTTTAGGTTTAATTATATATTATATATTTATAATTAATTATCTTTAGTATTTTGATCTTTAATCCATGAAAACGTTCGATGTGATGAATAGATGCCAAAAAAGAAAAAGAAAAAGAAATATTATTTCAGTCAACTATCATGAAGAACAACGTAGTGGTGTCGGGTAAGGTATGAGCGACGGTCGCTGGATCAATAGCTGGGAGGCATTACCGGCCAACAGTGACCGGCATTTCGGCTCACACCAAACACAAGGTGGTGGTGTTTTGATGAGAGAGAGAGAGAGAGAGAGAGGAGGAAGGAACACAATTGTGATTTGGATCATTACTACGTTGGCTCCGCCAAAAGAGAGAATCCGATGAATCCAAGTGCGTACGAGTCGAAGTCACCGTCGAGTCCGCCCACTTGGCCGTGCTGGTCTCGCCTTTTTGACCTCTGTGACTGCGCCGTTGCCAGGCGTTGGACGACAACCCAAGTCGGAGCCGACACGGCACGACAAGATTCGTCGCCACGGCAAGGGGTGGAATCCTCTTTATAGATTCCGTACGAGATCCGCTCCTGGATTCGGTGATAGGAAACGGACGAGTCCCGTGGAATCACATGCGCCCACGTACCGTGCGGGACCCGCATGTCAAGCGTACGATTGAGATGGTTGGATTCATAAAACGCCTAAAATAGTCTCAATTTTTTATTTATAATTAAATATATTTGTATTTTTTTTTGCTATTATTCCGATATTATATTCATTATTCTCTTATCTCTCTCAACATATTCGATTAGATTTTATCCTTTTGTTTTACTATATCATAAAAAAATTATTTTGATATATTTTATATTTTTAACCTCACATATAATTTTTAAAATTAAATTATTAAATCTGTAATATCAAAAAATTTGATGCAAACTAATCAGGATTAGTATATATATATATCATATTATTGGAGGCTTAATTGAATATTGATAATTTTTTGATTTATTATTGAGGGATAAAAACACAAATGATGAGTTTGATTCTAATAACTATTATTACATTATTCATAAATTATATTTTCTTTTTCTCTAGCCAGATTTATTATTTGACGATCTTCTTTGAGCAGTCATCTAATCAACTTCAAGTAGGCAACACATGAACAGAAAAGAATAGAATCATCAACCCATCATAAGTGGAAGGCAACATAACCTTTATTTCTGTGTTTACTTATCAGTGCTGATGATTCAATTCAACATAAACGATCGAAAACTTTACCCTACAACAGTTTTTGATAGGTTTCAGGAGACATCACAAATGAACTTTATGAGCTTTGCCAAGATTCTTAGATCTTGGTCGGTAAGCTTTGTACAAAATGGAGGAAAGAGTATGTAAGGAAATTGAGTGTTTGGACGGATAGCAATGATTTGGTCTCCATGGCTGATTACTATACCTCTATCTTAGGAGGTGCAACAAGATGTATATATAGCATACCATTTTCGAAGAGAGAGAGAGAGAGAGAGAGAGAGAGAGAGAGAGAATTGTGTTCATTGTAAGGAATTCAAAGATGGTATTATATACTATTATATCATATGAACTAATAATAGGAAAGATGTCAATTAGTAAGGACTTTAATAGTATATCTTAAAATTATAAGTTGCAATCTTGTCGCCATCATTTATTCTTAGAAAAAAAATATATCTATCTTAATAGCAATGATATCTTAGTAACAATCAATTAGACTCAATGAGTTCTAATTTGAACCACCATAAATTTAATTTGATTTAATTAATTACAATCATGCTTAGATTTAGAAACTTAACCTTATTATCCATAGCTGAATGACATTTAATAAAATAATTTACAGTCAACAAAGGCCATGGTTTTGGATTCATCCAATGGTTTGAAACTTGCCGAAGAGAATATATATATATATATATA